TGAAAGAAAACAAAGTTTTGAAACTGTGTTTACAACAATTAACTCATCTGCCTTTTCCCTTGGCGAAAAAGGAAATATCATTGGAATTTTAATTGCACTAAGGGGTGGTTTTACTTAAATTACAGGTTAAAAAAATGTATTTGGGGGAATGCAGAATAGCGAATTCTGGGGGAGGCTACATGTGCTACAAAAGTTGCTTTCTTTATTAAATGGCTATGGAAACAGGTGTTTGCAATGGTTCAGAATGTATCTGAATGTGCTTGGGGCATTTTGGTCACGGTGTATCTAAAACGAGGAGTTTGGTTTTCATGACAATAGACTGAACTTCGGTACTTCCCTGGGTGCAGGATTTCTATTCTGGATACACTCCAATGACAATTCCCACATCAACATGCACCGTCGGCAGCTTGTGGCCATCCTAGGAACACCAGAAACGATGGAAGACATGGCCAAAGGATTGGCACCCTGGAGATCGTCACAAGGCCATTGTGTTCCTTTAGAGAGCTCGCAGCAGGCTACGCACCCCCTGCACAGACCCACTACAGCCTAGCTCAAGGAGGGACAACTTACTAAAACTCTCTTCCTGCATTTTAGCAATATGTACAAAACATACAGTTGAAGAACCTCTTAAAACAGAAAGGCACAACTGTGGTGGCTCAAGGCAGTCCAAGCTGTTCCTAGCAGTCCTCCAGAGGTGCATTGGGGAGCACAAGAGAGTACCCCTACCACTGAAAGACCCCTACCCTTGAAAGAGGTTCTAACACCTCTTTCATGTTACGTGTGGCGAGTTAGCACGACTGTAGAAATCAGGTGGATGTGGTTCACACATCCTTCAGAGCCCCGCACTACTTCTGCACTAGAGCAGGTGCTGAACTGTGCGATGTCTCACCACTGGCTCTAGGCTTAAAGCCCTGGGCAATTCTAACCTACTGTGGCACAGAGAGGCATGCACCAACCAGTGGGCCGAGACACCTGCGACACTGCACACGGAGCATTTTCTTTCAGACAGAATCATAGGGCACAATGGCAGGCGCACAATCCAAGCTAGTTAGAGGGGATTTTGTCTCAAACCTTTGGTGCAAGCCGTGTGCACACATTTTAAAATGTATCTGCACAGGAAGTAGTTTTATAAAGTCCTTAAGCTTTAAACCAAGAGAACAAAGCATGATAGGAAGTGGTTTCCCCTCTCAGGATTCAGTTCACCTGTCCAGTCAAATTCCTCTTTTGTTTGTTTTTTCTTTAAACTCTCAAGCTGAGATTCCCTGAGCATAAATGCTGCATGCAAAATACACAGTCAAGAGACAGACCCAGCAGCTGCAAAACACTAGCCCCAACGAGTGTGAAAATCACCTCCAAGAAAAAATTCTTTCCCCTCTTGCGTCTTTCAGTTACACCTTTATCTTTTCTCTCCTTTGTGGTTTCCCCTTGCTGCGATGGCATCCATGTTCTCTAGACAGATCCACTGTCTCGCACTCAACTGCTGAGTTTAAGGCTTTCTGGAATACCGCATTGTCTGTCTTAGATTATCTGACTGTGCACAACGAGTAGAATGGGAGATCTCCAAATCCCCACCAGGAAAACAGCTGCGTTGCTGCTGATTTCAAAGGAGAACTCCCCAAGAGTGTACCCACTGGGTGGCTAGAAACTCCATTCTCTCTTCCACGCAATACGCTGCTCTCTAGATTGCAGGTTATTCAAACTTTTTTCCTGTATTTCTAGTAAGAAGCCTTGTATTCTTCTCAGGAAACACCCAATTTACGTAACCTTTGGGAAAACAAGCACCCCTCAGAACTTCCCTTTACAAACCTAACACCTGCTTACTGTCGAGTTTTTGCATTTAATATGTACATAAAGTGCCTAGGTGGAGCTTTCCACGGATGGAAAATTAAGCCAAATTCTAGGACACTTCTACAAGTCTTCTGGACCCTCAAGTTCCTTGACACACAAGCGATAGATGAAGCCTGACAGCAGCAAGAGTTTGTAGTGTACCCCGGCCTCGTGGGGAAGAGGAAAAGGTTATGTGGAGTCTGTGCAAACCAGGGACAGGCCAACTCCAACATGCCGCTGCAAGTCACTCAGACCTGAAGATTCCTCCTGCCCAGTCACCGCTGCATCCTGCATTGCCTAAATACCAATGACATATGGCATGCACCCCAATGGGCAACCGGTGAGAGTTTTCAGAAGAGACGAAGAGGGAGGATGTGACACGGAGCTTGGAAGCGAGGAGAGTTCTGGAGAGATGACTTAGCGTGTCAGGACAATTAACGAGCGACCCCAATTCGAGTGTCTCAGAGGAGGAGGAGGAGAGGAACGGCCAAGATTAGGAGTGAAGTGAGTGTATGGCAAAGAGACAGATGAGTGCCTGGGGGAAGAGGGAGGTGGAGCAGCAAGTCCAGGCACCATTTTAAAGGGAAGGAAGGAGGCTGAGAGCAGGCTTGGAGATCCCTAGGAAAACTCTGGACAAAGAGTAGGAAGATGATTAGATTCTGGAAGCCGGCGGTGCCACGCCATTACAGACTGGGGACTGAGGAAGAGTGTAAGAAAGGACACTGTAAGAGGAAAGGCAGGGTGGGACTGACACATGGTTAAGGCTTTCAGAAGAGGCAGGGTCATGGTAAGGTTGAAGTCTACCAATATTCAGGAAATCATGACAGACCAGGGCAACGCAGGAGGAAAAAAGTTGAGTGTCAAACAACTCCCATAGCTCCGCCCTTGGGAGCAGTGCGAAGGGCAGCATTCAAGCTGGTAACAGTTGTTCAAACCTTACAGAACAAAGTTTCTATTGTCACGTGCAGAATGGCTGTGGCATGAGGCAGGTGACAAGGCTGTTATAATACTGCACGGTGTAAGCAATGCTCATTAGAAACCGGCCTATATACTTATAGGTGCTTTGTCTGGTGTATTTATTTTAAATACCAGAGAGAATAATCCCAAAGTTCAATTCGACTTTTCAGACACAAACTGGTCAACTCTTGTTGGCCAAGCTGCAAACACTAGAAATCTAGCTCATGGCAATGCTGCCCCCAAGTGGCTAACCTTTCGTAGGGCTCAGAAATGATTTCGAACCAGACTGGCTTCGGGAGAGGAAGCTGTGTCATGCGCAGTTTCCCCAGGACAAGCCAGCACTATAGGAATTTAGTCACATCTGTGGGCCTTTCTCCAGCTCCTCCTAGTCTCTACAGCACAGATGGGTCAGTACAGCAACACAAGCCATACGGATTCTCTGATCTGAGGAACCATAAACCCCTCCTTTTGAAGGGCCTCAACCTTAGCTAACCCATCGACTTCACGACAATATTAAAAGGGAAAAATGCTACAGCAGCACTGGAAACACCACATTGAAGATAGAGTTTAACCAGGGGTTAAATAGAAAACTTGATTTCCAAAAGTAAAGGTTATTAAACTCGGGCAAGAGTCAATGCTAAGGAGGTACTTCATTTTAGAAAGAGGAATACCAGACCATTACATGACTAACCCCTACTGCAAATGCTGGCCAGACATGCAATAAGGAGTCCTATGAATTTTGTGACTAACAGTCACAGTGATAGAGTGAAATTGGACGGCTATATTCATTCAGGATACAGACACGCCTGATCTAAACATAAGACATTTGACATAACCCAGCCTACAGCCAGATCCATGAAAACCTAAGGACAGAATCTACTACAAGTTTGTGTGTCTATGTTGCAATAAGAGATCCAAGTTGCAAATTCATTAGGTTTGTCTTTGAAAGGAGATTGCTAGAGTCCCTTACAATGCACACATGAAATCCTGCAGCACAATTAAAATGTCAAATCTTCCCCCGCCCCTAACACGCAACTGAAACTACCGATCTGCCCGCTCCTCAATATTACCTCACACTTGCTACGGAGGCCTGTCTCCTGGAGCCGGGACCAGATGCTCTGGATTCTCCCTGCGTGCTCTGGATGGCTGTTTGTGTTCCCACAGGTACACTGGTGTTTCAGCATCAAGGTATCATAGACCAGGCCTGCAGCAAAAGTTAAAAGAAATGGTCTCGTGAGACATGAAAATAACCTGTTATGGAGAGCCTCCGAAGCAGCGCACGCTGTACTGAACTGAAACCCTATGGACAACAGAAACCTGCAGTCCACAGGCAGATGAAGAACATTAGGAAAACATAACCACAGACTAGTAAATGTGCCGGACAGCTTGACTGTATGACCGGACTGTACACAAACATGGGGACTTGAGTCAGTGACCCAAAAGCACCCTCCAAGTCCTGTGAGCTTAACTTCTCAGGTGGCATCGCAATGACCTCGCCCTGTTGGAAGTTTCCCTGTTGGAAAGACCTCGCCCTGAAATGCATCATTAATGCCACAAGAGGACGCAGCAGTAGGTTTGTAAGAGGAGAAAAGAGGTGACAGCAGAGATTTAGGCAAACATGTCAAGAGAAAAAAGTTCTAAAAGGACACTATAATTCTCTGAGTCTCACTAAGTACTATTGCACCTGCTACTGAAATGCTTCCAGGTTTTTGGATAAAACAACAAGTGGAAACGTCCCTGGAAGGATCTTTCTTCCATAAAATAGCTTGCTTTAAAGTATTCCCCTCAAGGCTATGGGAGGACACAAGAATCCAGGTACATGGAAAGGAGTTTATAAGCGCACACTTTGGAATAACTATCCAGTGTGTTCCGTGGGCATTTAGCAGGGTTTGCCTCAAGAAGCTGACTCCCTCTGCATCACTGAGTATGCATCTACGCTCAGCAGTGTAGATGACTCCGATACATGTTCTGCTTCTACCCGGCTCTACTTTTGGACCAGGATTGTGGATTCAACTCAAATATACCACTGCACAAAAGCACCAGGATTCCCAGAGTTGTGTTTTCAGGAGAAGACACGTTTTGTTACAACAAAGCAGATATGGTGAAAAGGTTAGTTCTCCCAGAGTGAGTCTGTATCGGGGAGCACCCAAACTCTGGGGAATATCTGGGGGTGCAGAGGATGCAGAACTGATTTGCAACTTGTATTGCTCCTTTGAAAGCCAACTAGTTCCCCAAAGTGTCTTGCCACTGCATGCTGGGGCCGGGGCCGCCACTTTCAGCCACGAGGGGGAAGTGGTCTGGCAATTACTTACTCTGCTTCATGCTTTGGGGCCTCGGAGTGCAGTAAAACACTCCAGTGCTGGAGGACAGAGGGGAGCAGTCGTGAACCAAAGGTCAATTAATCAGGGCTTTGCAATCAATACTGATAATATGCCCACCTGCCTGTTTTCTTTCGGACGCTTTCAGAAGAGGCAGGGTCATGGTAAGGTTGAAGTCTACCAATATTCAGGAAATCATGACAGACCAGGGCAACGCAGGAGGAAAAAAGTTGAGTGTCAAACAACTCCCATAGCTCCGCCCTTGGGAGCAGTGCGAAGGGCAGCATTCAAGCTGGTAACAGTTGTTCAAACCTTACAGAACAAAGTTTCTATTGTCACGTGCAGAATGGCTGTGGCATGAGGCAGGTGACAAGGCTGTTATAATACTGCACGGTGTAAGCAATGCTCATTAGAAACCGGCCTATATACTTATAGGTGCTTTGTCTGGTGTATTTATTTTAAATACCAGAGAGAATAATCCCAAAGTTCAATTCGACTTTTCAGACACAAACTGGTCAACTCTTGTTGGCCAAGCTGCAAACACTAGAAATCTAGCTCATGGCAATGCTGCCCCCAAGTGGCTAACCTTTCGTAGGGCTCAGAAATGATTTCGAACCAGACTGGCTTCGGGAGAGGAAGCTGTGTCATGCGCAGTTTCCCCAGGACAAGCCAGCACTATAGGAATTTAGTCACATCTGTGGGCCTTTCTCCAGCTCCTCCTAGTCTCTACAGCACAGATGGGTCAGTACAGCAACACAAGCCATACGGATTCTCTGATCTGAGGAACCATAAACCCCTCCTTTTGAAGGGCCTCAACCTTAGCTAACCCATCGACTTCACGACAATATTAAAAGGGAAAAATGCTACAGCAGCACTGGAAACACCACATTGAAGATAGAGTTTAACCAGGGGTTAAATAGAAAACTTGATTTCCAAAAGTAAAGGTTATTAAACTCGGGCAAGAGTCAATGCTAAGGAGGTACTTCATTTTAGAAAGAGGAATACCAGACCATTACATGACTAACCCCTACTGCAAATGCTGGCCAGACATGCAATAAGGAGTCCTATGAATTTTGTGACTAACAGTCACAGTGATAGAGTGAAATTGGACGGCTATATTCATTCAGGATACAGACACGCCTGATCTAAACATAAGACATTTGACATAACCCAGCCTACAGCCAGATCCATGAAAACCTAAGGACAGAATCTACTACAAGTTTGTGTGTCTATGTTGCAATAAGAGATCCAAGTTGCAAATTCATTAGGTTTGTCTTTGAAAGGAGATTGCTAGAGTCCCTTACAATGCACACATGAAATCCTGCAGCACAATTAAAATGTCAAATCTTCCCCCGCCCCTAACACGCAACTGAAACTACCGATCTGCCCGCTCCTCAATATTACCTCACACTTGCTACGGAGGCCTGTCTCCTGGAGCCGGGACCAGATGCTCTGGATTCTCCCTGCGTGCTCTGGATGGCTGTTTGTGTTCCCACAGGTACACTGGTGTTTCAGCATCAAGGTATCATAGACCAGGCCTGCAGCAAAAGTTAAAAGAAATGGTCTCGTGAGACATGAAAATAACCTGTTATGGAGAGCCTCCGAAGCAGCGCACGCTGTACTGAACTGAAACCCTATGGACAACAGAAACCTGCAGTCCACAGGCAGATGAAGAACATTAGGAAAACATAACCACAGACTAGTAAATGTGCCGGACAGCTTGACTGTATGACCGGACTGTACACAAACATGGGGACTTGAGTCAGTGACCCAAAAGCACCCTCCAAGTCCTGTGAGCTTAACTTCTCAGGTGGCATCGCAATGACCTCGCCCTGTTGGAAGTTTCCCTGTTGGAAAGACCTCGCCCTGAAATGCATCATTAATGCCACAAGAGGACGCAGCAGTAGGTTTGTAAGAGGAGAAAAGAGGTGACAGCAGAGATTTAGGCAAACATGTCAAGAGAAAAAAGTTCTAAAAGGACACTATAATTCTCTGAGTCTCACTAAGTACTATTGCACCTGCTACTGAAATGCTTCCAGGTTTTTGGATAAAACAACAAGTGGAAACGTCCCTGGAAGGATCTTTCTTCCATAAAATAGCTTGCTTTAAAGTATTCCCCTCAAGGCTATGGGAGGACACAAGAATCCAGGTACATGGAAAGGAGTTTATAAGCGCACACTTTGGAATAACTATCCAGTGTGTTCCGTGGGCATTTAGCAGGGTTTGCCTCAAGAAGCTGACTCCCTCTGCATCACTGAGTATGCATCTACGCTCAGCAGTGTAGATGACTCCGATACATGTTCTGCTTCTACCCGGCTCTACTTTTGGACCAGGATTGTGGATTCAACTCAAATATACCACTGCACAAAAGCACCAGGATTCCCAGAGTTGTGTTTTCAGGAGAAGACACGTTTTGTTACAACAAAGCAGATATGGTGAAAAGGTTAGTTCTCCCAGAGTGAGTCTGTATCGGGGAGCACCCAAACTCTGGGGAATATCTGGGGGTGCAGAGGATGCAGAACTGATTTGCAACTTGTATTGCTCCTTTGAAAGCCAACTAGTTCCCCAAAGTGTCTTGCCACTGCATGCTGGGGCCGGGGCCGCCACTTTCAGCCACGAGGGGGAAGTGGTCTGGCAATTACTTACTCTGCTTCATGCTTTGGGGCCTCGGAGTGCAGTAAAACACTCCAGTGCTGGAGGACAGAGGGGAGCAGTCGTGAACCAAAGGTCAATTAATCAGGGCTTTGCAATCAATACTGATAATATGCCCACCTGCCTGTTTTCTTTCGGACATGACTCAACTGCATTCGGCGCTGTTTGGGCAATACCGAGCAACGCCCACTGAAGTCACAGGTAGGATGTGGGCAGTAGAATGGATAGCTACTCTGAAGTTCAACCCTGGGAAAGAACACTGGATTTTGCTGCTTCTGGCTCAAAAATATACCTGTTATACATAAGGGGCATGCACGTACATACCATAGGCGCGTGCGTGCGTGCGTGTGCAGATAAACACACGCAACAGTATTTTATATAGGTACATTCATGCATTTGCAGAAAACGTGTGGGGGGTGGGGGCAAGCTAAGTATTCTCTGTTGGGAAGTGACGAGAGGAGCCATGCTTCAGGAGAAGTTCAACCTATTTACATTCTAACCCTCTGTCTCTGGTGAAGCAGCGATAAGAGCAGCATTTCCACGACGTTTCTCCGGTGCAGCATTTATGCACTGTTCCAGGTTTTTAACCTCAACAGCTACTGCACAGAGGACAACTGCTCTTCCTGTAGCTGAGGTCACACTGTGGCGCACAGAGAAAGGAAATGCTTGGCTATTTTAATTTAAAATACAAAACTACTTTGGACACTACAGCACCATTGCTGGAAAATAATATTCCCTCCAATGTGGGAACAATCAGTTTTAAAGGTCAGAACTAAAGCATAGCCGACTGGCATTTCTTGGAAGGGTAAACAGGCAATTCGAGGCTCAGGTAATTCTACTGCTCTGGCAGTGAGGGAGAGAATAAATGACCTTCATCAGAAATAAAAAATGCTGTAACAAAACATTATAACGACGCATGGAATTCATTGTCATGGCAGATCAAAGACTGGACCATTGCAAACCAATGGCCCAATCTGGGAATCCTTGAGTAAAATTGTACATGCACCAACATTCCCAATAAGGCCAATGCATCTACTCACATTAGCAAGGGTACAGGAGTTACATTAGAGGCTAACCAACCTTATGCAGGTTGCCCCCCTGCCCTTGTGCAAGTGAAAAATGCCGCCCTTCTGATTTTGCTGGGTTTATGTCTATTGTCCTCTCACGACGCACAAGCGCAATGTCATGCTTCAGGACATAAAACTAACCGCCTGCCAGTGGCAGAAAGGGGTGAGGTTGAAGGCACGTACTCCTCAGTGTGTAGTATGTCTATCTCCCTGTATCGCCCCCGCCAGATGCCCTTTAAGCATTAAGAACCTGTTACTGCTTGAGGAAGGGTAATGAAATAAGAGACCCAGGGGTTTGATTCTGTTCAACAGATCGACGTTCCTCACTCTTCCCAGAGAGCATGCTAGAAGAATTTACTATACACACTATTTTTAAAGTGACAAAAATGAGAAGCAATTTTTAATTCTTTGCCTATTTTACACTAGGCTGACTTTTTAAGATGCACTATCCGAGTTTGTGGACTTCATTTCTTTGAATTCTAATTCCTTGAAAATGAGTATTCCATTGGCAAAGTGTAACTGTTAACCAGAATATTCAATTAAGCAGCACGCCTCCTCCCCGCATGTCCCCAACATGCCGGATAACAAAGCTTTTACTGTAAGATGATATGTACCAAAATATTTGTCTATAAAGACTTCCCCTCCCTGAGAGGGAGGTGGCTGGGTTGGTAGAAAGAAAGTCATGACTTGAACAAGGGCAAAGGAGGATTTAAATGAACTTTTATAACAGTGTGAGGAAAACAACATTAAAATATTTCTTTTCTCAACCTTTTCTGTGGTCCAATTTCCACGATACATACAACTGGGCTATGGCTCTTCAGTGACTAGCACCTGCTACTGGCTGTCACCTGCACTTGTGCGAGTGTAAACTCCTGCCATTCCCATTGTGAATGATTTTACCCCCCACTTGCCACTCTGAGTGGGTATACGTGACTGCAGTGTGTTCAATGAAGTGGGCCCCTAGAGTCTTAAAACATTTCAGAAATTAAATGTTATAAAACAGCGATTAGCCCGATGAAACACACTAAGTACTTTGCAAATTACCATCTTGTCACAGTACTGCACGCCTCATACCATAGAAAGGCAACGTGGATTTATTTTCATTTTAAGCAATCGTTTAATCCTACCTCAACACTCATTTCCTTGAATCTGACACCTAAAATTGTAGAACTTGGAACAGACTTATTTACAGTTTTCAAAATCACGACGTTTGTGGCTCCACTCTAATAGATAATTAGAAGTGGAATTAGGAGGCAAAATGTAAATCCCATGACAGCAGGTATTACTGCACAGTGACATTTGGTAAAGATTCACATGACTGATATTGCATGTAAACGATGGAGGAGCTGGAACCAGATACAGGCAAACAGTGACTCTACTTCTACAACGCACACAGAATCTGTCATTTTTAAACCAGCAGGTTCAGATTTTCAAAATGGCTTAAGAGAACTCGGGGCTCGATGTCCACTGACCCTCTGTAGTACGTGGGTGCCTAATTCCCTCGGGACCCTTTGAAAATGCCAGCCCCTGCTACTGCATGCTGGATCTTTCTGGTGCCACGACGGACTGCTTATTGGTGCTTTCATTAGAAAGTGAGACATGCAAACCTTGTGAAAACTCGACACCCCACAGCCTGAGTTTCAGCAATCAGGCTGCTGCTCGGGCCAGGGCCCTGCTAGACGAGCACACTCCAGTTCCCAAACCCTTTCAGTGCAGGAGGGTCGGCCACCATGTAACCTGACTGCTATCCTGACTGAAGGCAATGGGCTACCCGGTGCCCTTTGAGAAGGGGTCTGCGCCCTGCTGACTGGTATGGGAGCTAGCTCTGCCAATGACGCATCAGCTGTGAGTTTCCCCCTCCCTGGGGGGTTCACAGCCAGCCAGACCACACCCTCTGGAGGCACAAAAGGCTGGAAGTGGAGCAAAATCTGCCTGGCAGTAAGTTCAGCGCTCAGGCTGCCCGTGTTGCTGGGTCCACTGTCCTTTGTCCGCCATGCTGCACGGCCTTCTTCCTTGCACCCATGTCCACCTCCCAGTCTAGTCAGAACTCGCCGTGTCCCAGGCCGTGTGCAGCCAGCGCTCGGCATCGCTACACACGCTGTCCAGCACCTTTCACCACACAGCTGGGATTCCCCTCCATAGGGTTGCTCCCTTCGGTGGTGGGAGTTGGGGAAGAGGGGAAATATGGGGTGTAGTGACTGACCCAGATTGTCCAATCCTCAACTCAGCTGCAGAACATGGGGTTAACAACATCCTGACTGCCAACCGACAGGTGGGAATTAGGGAGGTTTGAGCATAAGGGCAACTCTTGCCTCCTCCAACAAGGCGCTGGCATCACCCACTCCACGGCATCGCAGCAGAGCACTCTAAGAATAAACGACCTTTTCCCTATGGGGCACTCAGCCCCATCCAAGTCCCTCCCGCCCCCAGACGTACCTGTGGTGAACCTTGGCTTAGTGGGGGGCTCCTGTACAGACATGGGGAAGGTGGCAGACGCAGGTGAGGACTGGGCGCGGGACAGAGGCCGATGTCCGCCAAAAGACACTGGGATGCCAGCTGCCTCCATGGAGGCCTGGTAGTTTCTCAGCTGGTGAATGCGTTGCTGCTCCAGCAGGAGGGCTTGCTGTTGGGGAGGACACAAGGAACGTAAGGGGCTGGTTCACGCAAACATCACAATGCAAACGCGTGGCCTGGAATGTTAGCACGTTATCTGGCGGTTTGGTTTGGGTCCCAGATACAGCGAGTGCACACAGGTAGGGCTGTGAAGGATCCAAATTCGGAAGGCAACAAGGGCATCGGTTTCCTCTTTGAAACCCAACGGCACAGGGAGGAGGTCAGAAACACACAGAGCCACCTGGCAAGTCAGCGCCTCTCCCAAAGCGTTACATCCTGCAGCAGAGATGACAGGCCAGAGCCTCGGCAGGTGGGAGGCAGCACAGAACCAGTGACTTCTGTGGAGCTACCCCACGCCTCACCACATGAACGGCTGGCCAGCTATGAGCAAGGGCACAAGGAAACGGTTCTGACAACCGAGCACTGGCTGGGGTGTCCAGGTCTCGCTGGCTGGCTGATGTTACACGTGCACTGCACATCCAAGGCCCAACAACATACCACAGATAAACACATGGGGCTGAACGGTCCCACTCGGAACCCAGGTATTCCCGCGCAGCGCCCGTGCTTTCTCCACCTGTACTACTGACAGCTCCCCTTTCACAAAGGCATTTCAGGGCTTTTTCTAACTTTATTAAGTATTTTTCTTTTTCCTGGTCTTTCTAGGTACAGATTAGGGACAAGCAGGCACCTGTTTCCTTGCCCTTTAACCCCGAGGCCTAGCTGAGCGGCTATCCAGATCCCAGGGCAAAGGTCTCTGGTTTAGGCACCCTAATGGCAATGCGCGCACTGAGCACCCGGCGGGCTGACGTCTGCTTCCCTGCGTGCTCAGGGCCGCTCCAGCAGCTGGGGACTGGTTAACCAAAGGAAGGCACCTGCGATGCTGCCTGTGCTCGCTGCCTGGAGGAGAGGGAGCATGGGAGCAGCTTTGGCACAAAGAGGGAAACATTTGGGAGAAGTCCTCTGGCAGCCAGACCCCCTAGTCTGAAGGCGGCTTGGTGCCGTCAATCCCAGTGCACCGGTAGCTTGAGACGCAAGCGCCCACGGGGAGAAAGCAGGAAGGCTGCTTGCATGTCTGGGGAAACGGGGTTTGTCTCCTAGGGATGACACATTGCTCTTCAGTGCGCGGTGGAGGTGGCTGCCCTACGGTGTCTGTAGCTAGCAAAAGCTGGGGCACGCACACTAGAAATAATCCCTGCTTTCCTTCTGCCCAAATGCAGGACCCATGCTTCCAACCAAGCCAGCAGCTCTGCAATGTATTGTGTCCCTGCGGGTAAGCCAGCGCAAGAAATACAGCTGTGCCCTGTTGCTTCATCCCTCCTGGAGCAAGCCAACCACACGTGCCGTAGGCAGCGGCTGCAGACTGGCCGTGCTGCCCAGCACACGCCTTGTGGTGAAGAGAGCTGGGTTCCTGCTGCAGCCCCAAGGAGGTGGAACGTTTCCAAAGGTTGCGTCACGCTGCAATTACAGCGGATGCGATTTCCCCTGGGCCGTGGGGAGTCACCAGCCGGTAACACACCGCTCAGGCGCATTAGGGAAAGCCCCCGGAGGTCAGTGAAAACACACTTATTGACTTGGAGTCAGATCTTATTGGCAGTGTCTTGGGGCAGTGCCTCCGCCTCACCCCCCACGTGGGCCAATGAAGAACGCTAGAGCCAGAAAACCCAAGGGCTGGCCTCTGTGCACTACGTGCTTGGGCTCATTTTAGCAGTGCCGCCACGCAGTCGAAGAGCGGGATGTCCTGTGTGGCTGTCCATTGCCAAGGGAACCGGGAGGACGGCAGGTTAGCAGCCTTGCCTGGTGACTCCCTGCGGAGCCACGCCAGCACACGCTGCCTTTCCTGCCCATCCACCGTGACCCGTCTCAATCCCATCTGAAACCCAGCCCAGGAGAGGCTGAGAGCGATGGCCAAGGCTCAACGAGGGCCCAGCTGCGGGCTGCAAACAAGGGCGCCCGGGGAGGAAGGGAGAGATACTTGCTCTGTCTGGGGAGCAGGAGGGACCTGGCCTGATCTCACTCCCAGGCTGCAGGGCTGGAGACAAGAGGCAGCAAGCCCACCCCCTCGCCAATGCTGAGTGGCTATGACAGGCTACAGTCTGCCCCCGGGAGAGGGGTAGATGCCGGCGGGCAGTGGGTCGCAGAGGCCAGGAGAGAGGCCACGGGGAGACAGCAGCCCGAGAGGGGCGCCCTGCGGGCTAACGAGCTAATTCCCAGGGTAAGTCAACCCCGTGACACAAACACTTCACCTTTCTGCAGCCACAAAACAGGCTCTCAGCAGATGGTCCCAACGGCCCAATGCCTGTCGGCGCCCATTGGGCACCAGGAGGCCCCTTCGCCATGCTCCCCTCACCTGCCGGAAGAGCAGCTCCTGCTCAGCTTGCCTCTGCCCTGGCTCCAGCTCCAGTGGCAGCTCCGTCTCCTCTTCATCACTCTCAATGGGCTCTTGCTTCACCGTCACCATGTTGGCCAGCCCTTGCACCTCCTTTTGGCTCGCGACTCGGTCGCCATACGGCTCCTCCAAAAGTGCGTGGTGCTCTCGCAACTCCTCTTCCGTCTCCTCAGGGTGGCTTTCAGGCTGGCGGGCTGGCTCGGGCGGCTTGGGGATCATCTGAAAAGACCCCAGAGTTTAAGGGATACAACACGTGCAACACACCAGAGCTAACGCTGGCTGCGCTCTCAACTACAGAATTATCTTAGTGAAAGCAAAATAAAAAGTAACTTCATATTTCTGACAAATTAGCTCCAAGAGAGAAGGATAATGACAGTAAGGACAAAGAGCCAGGTCAGCCCATTCATCTAGCATCGTGGAAACATGTCCTAAGGAACAATATTTTTTGTTTTTAGTTTGACTTCTGCCTTACGAAAGCGGACTGCTCTAAACCCGTATGCTTTGCAGGGCTACTCCCCTCCGTTCAACGTCTGCAAGGAAACAACCACTTGGCAGCAAAACCCCAGCAGAAAACGAGTGACAGATTTGTTCTTGTCTGGTTTCCTGTCTCCACGTTTGCCAAGCTTCTTTCAGACAGCGCCATAAATTGCATCTCACAAAACCAGAGCCTGCCTCCCGGTTCCCAATGCAGCTGAAGTCGAGTATTTTAGTAGCTTTGGGAGAGAAGAGCTATGCTGGGTTATCTGTACCACAACTACAAAAATAAAACCCCACGACGTTTCAGAGTCAGGCTGCCCTACACTCAGTCAAGTGCTGCTGGGAAGCTTGTGTCCTCCAGCTGTCACACGCACTTCGCAATCTTAGTGCTCAAGTGTTTGGGAGTCCAAGCGCCTGTGACCCTCACAGGCCCTCCATGGCAAGCGGTGAAGGGTTCCCTGTTCTCTCAGCAGCTCCTGCCGTGCCAAACAAACTCACTACACCCAGCACTGCCATCCCAGAATCCAGCCAACAGAATCGCAGTGAGGTATCAAAGGGACGCTGGCATCACACGGCTCTGGCACGAGGCGAAGGGTGAGTACTACCACCACATGCGGCTTTCAAGTGTCACCGAACAAGGGAGAAACATTCTCCAGTCCAGGGGCAAAAGTTGTTTTCGCTCTACGGGAGGCAGAGGATGCCTTGTGAGCCCAAAAGGCCTGGAGCTATGCTGGACTCTAACGGGGTGCAAGGAGAAAACCATCTCACTGAGAATACTGGGGGGAAGAGGTGTGATTTGTGATGGACCGAACCCTGCATTGACTGAAAACCAGCAAGCTCTGCGGCAACACTGCAAAAGTGAAAAACTGCTTCAGACAAGAGCTGTAGCCCATTAAATCAAGCCTTAGCGCTGGCTGGTCTGCACAGGAAGCTTACACGGACACAGCTACGCCCCTCAGGAATGTAAGCACCCCCCGCCCCAGCGGCGCAGTTAAGCCAACCCAAGGCCACGGCTGGGCTACAGCTCATGCTGACAAAATGTGAGTGCCCCTGAGGCGAGTTACGCCGGCGTAGGCATTCATGCGCAGCCGCGGGAGGGCTTCTCCCCCCTGAGGTGAGTGGAGGGAGGGTGGGCAGTATCCCAACCACGCAGGCAGGAGCGGAGAGAGAAGAGATTAAGTGCCCACTAATTCTGGGTGCCCAGTATGCTAGGTGGAGGACCTGTGTTTGCAGAGTTCCAACCACTGCAAAGTACTTGTGCCTTCAAAGCCCCCCCACAGCGCCTGGCAAGACTTCTGCAAAGCAGACTCCACCGTACCGAGCAGGGCACCCAGTGAACGGGCAGCAGAGGAGTCTGAAGTGCCGTGCCCAGCACCACACAGAGCCGTGTGGCAGAGGTCGGGACGGAATCCGGGCCAGGCGTCATCAGCCTTCCCCAAGAGACCATTCTTTCTCTTTCTACAAGGCCAGCCCCGTGCAGCAGGCACCCCCCAACCCCGGAGTCCTACCAGTAACAAGTTTCTTTCACTACACCATGCGCACCCAAGGAGGCAGAGGGCTTGTGGAAAGGGTAGCAGGTCATGATGTAATCAGAGCCCATCCCATACTGCTCATTATTCCTGGCCGGGGGGATTCAGGGCCACTGTGGGGCAGCAGGGAAACAGCCCTGCTTGCAGAGTCTCCCCTGTCCACAGAAAAGTGGCTGCACCAGTGCCACTCACCTACCCTGGCAGCTCAGGCATGTTTGTTCAGGTAGCCAGGGCAGAGATACTTCCCTGGGAGGAGAGGGGCTCCAGGGATGCTTCCAGCCCTCCAGGACGTTAGCCCTGGCTCCCCATTGGCCAGGCGTGACTTGTCCTTGGGGAATCTATGCTGGCTGTTTCCGGTCACCTTCCTCTCCTCCCCACCTCTCACCAATCTGCTCAGCGGCTCTGTGGGGATGACAGGTGAGCAGCTGGCGGCAGAACGGCGCTGCCAGGGAGCACTCACGCAGGAGCCAATGAATCTCTGGCAGTTTTAGTATAAACTCTGAGATGTCTCCACTGAGCAGCACAAAATGTGTCTTCTGAAAGTCTGACTGGGACACGTTCTGGTGGATTTTCATGGGGATGACAAAAGGACGAGGGACCAAGAGGACACCCGCTATTCCGATTTCTCATCTCTGCTCCAAGGGATGGGGGGGAAGGGACTACCAGTTTTAAAATAACGTGTTGCCAGACTGTTTTAACATTAGCCACACATGCTTACACACCCCCAGCCTTGTTCTCAGAAATGTTTGAACTATATTGGTGGAAATTTTCCATCTAATTCAGCCTGAGGCAGCCATCTGACCTGGAAAATTTAAAACCAAATGGTTCAAGTTTGGCAAAGTCATAAACTGAAGCGAGCATGCTTTGAGCCTGGCCTATAATTAAAAGACAAATCAGCCTTTACTTGATTTTTAGTTCCTCTGCTACTCTACACAAATGGGCCCTGACATAGCTGAGTGTTCGGAGAAACAATGTTTCCATGTCAGCATTTGGATGCTATCCAATGTGATACATCTGCGCGCGCAGAATGCTAAAGGATTTTAACTCAGTACTTTAACAAGGGACACAAATGGAAATGGTCTTTGTTCAAAGAGGGGTTGTTCCCTCTTTTTGCGTGGACCTGACACATCACACTTAAGTAGGTCTCTTTCAGGCTACTGAAAGAAGCAGTAGTCTGTACAGTCTCACACATACGCTTCCAACTCCTGGGAGGTCTAAACGAAACCCTCAATGAGTGCAGTAGGTACGTCACAGCGCAAGCGTCCAAAGACTTCAAGTGTTGGCAATCGACATCTTTACAGACTAAAACAAGCCACTGAAGTGCAATTCACTTACTAACAAAGAAACAGAGCCTACTGCCAGCTTTGAGCAAGCCTGATTTTGAACTTCACGACTCCAAGCATGTTTAGAGTGTGCGAAGGGAAATCTCCATGGGAACAGCAACGCCACACCACATCAGTATGCTGGCCTGAATGAAGTCCAGGGCTGGCACATGCATGGCGTAGTGGCAAATATCCAGAAGTACAAGATTGACGTCAGTAGCTTGTGTAATCATCCCAACTTAGCTTTATTCTATAAACAAAGTGTCTGGGGGGTTTTCTGTTTTTATGCTGTGACTCTCTCTTACTGGAAAGATTTTATATGGGCCACCACTCAAGTAGGCTAATCCAGCTTCTGGTGGTTAGGTTTTCTCGGGAACAGTGGAAGTATTTGGAGAAGTGTCCACCTGAAATGGACCCGCAGCACCCTGGCAATCTGAGTTTTCTTTTGGAGTCTGTCTCTTTGAATTTAGCTGTACCAGGGGAGATCTTCCCCAAAGTGTCTGAAGGACAAGTTTTAAATTCAGATTCCATTTTGTCTGAAGAAACATACCTGCATAGCCAGCTGAAACAACCCCTTCTTTGCTACAGATAACCTAGCTGTGCAGCAGCATCTCTCTGGCCTGCGAAGCGAATGCAGTGTTTGTGTACGGATGCACAGCTCCATGCAACACACACACGCACACACTTCTCTGCTGTTGGCCAGACATGGGACAATGCTTAAACATGGACAGCACGGTCCAGCTTCAAAGCACTTGATAAATATTAGCTAATACACTCACAAAACCCCTTGGGCTAGATTGAGCCCCCATTTTCAGAAGGGGAGGTGGAGAAGACTGACAATGTGCCCCATGCCATAGGCGGGGGGCTGGGAGTTCCTGGGTCCTAGGCAAGGGCTTGGGCCTGCCTCTTGGAAGACTATCCTGGTGAACAAACTAAACACCCTCGAGTCCAAACCCTCCGCTCCAATTGTGTTTAGCTTGTTACCAATGGAATCTTCTATTTGTCCTTGGTTTTATTACACCCCTTGATACTACACTCTCCCTTCCTTCTTCCAGGGAAAATAGGTGTACAATACATCCACCTCCCCCTATGTACCCTGACGTTCCTGCATGCCTTCCTCTCGAACTGGGCCCGCTGCTGATGGGGATCAACGGCAGCAAAGAAAGCTTTGAAAATACGATTGGAGAATCAGTAGCTTAAACTGTACCTCCCCTCCCAGCACTTGCAGCAGCAGGGCCACTCCTTACCCTAGCTGATGCTGTGAACGATCACTGAAGCTACTAGGGAGCAGAGATGCCAAGAGGAAGGCCAAGTGATTGCATTGCTAGAGGCCGTGCACGTTGCCGTGAGAAAAACCCTTAAACAGGACCATTGGCGAAAGGCTGCACTGAACTTGCACGTGCAGGAAAGCACTTACCATCAGCATGCCTACCTTGTTCAGGTGAAGCTGCTGCTGCTGGAACTGCTGTTTGTGTTTCTCCAGGAACTGCTGGTGCTGTTGCTGGATCACTAACTGCTGGAGGGCCTGAGCGTTCTGGGGAAGGGGAGCCGACTGCGTGCGCCCCAGGGGGCGGTGTTGCCGGAGTTTGTGTATGGAAGGGGAGACCCGTTCTGCACCAACCAGAGACTGTGCATGGAGGGGGAGTGCCCCCAAGCCTGAAAGATACCAGTCTGAAGATAATATGGAGGAAAAAACAGCAGAGAAGAAAAAAAAAAGGAAGAAGAAAGGAAGGGAGAAAATGGCTATTGAGTAACACAGACGGTGACAATAATGTACATATTGTTAAAACCACCTTGACATTTGTAGCTGAAGTGTCATCCCTTAGAAAGTAAACCAGAACAGAAAGCGATCAGTTACCAGTAGAACAACAAATGTTTTAAACACTCCTGTGAAATATGTACAGAGTTTAGCACCTCCAGGGCATTTACACCCGCTCTGAGAATTAAGAGCAGCCTCTGCGTCTCTAGATCGCTGTTTGAGTTAAGAGCCTGTGGCTAGAATCTACACGGAATTAAAATCAGACAGCTAAGCTGTGTGAACTGACCGGGTTTTCAGCCAAGTTTGAGTGAAAAAGCGTCGTCACAATACAGCACAACTAGCATCCACTCAGCGTTTGGGGTGCTCTCAGCAGAAACACTAGGGATAAAAAGCAGAGACAGAACTACCTTCTCACCCTAGCTCAGGGTGTGCACCTGCACACCCTCTGCTGTGCCGAACCTACTCTAGAGCATGATGTGCCAAGGAGAAAACTTCCAATATGGTAGACCCAGCACTGTCCATGCACATTCAATACGGTGGTTGCCTAAATACGACCAGTGTTTTGTCAACCTGAAACATGGAATGCAGTGAATACGGAGTTAACATTAGATCGCTACTTAAGGCAATTGGCAAATTTTTAAAGCTGACCACTGTCTATTGTAGTAGGTTGGGATCACATTTCAAATATGGGTACGTCTAGACAACGGCACTATTTCAGGATACTTCCAACATCCCGAAATAGTGCTTTCCACATCTCGACAGCGTGCCCGTTATTTCAAACTATCTTTTGAAAAAACAGGCGCGCTAGAGCATGCTTCCGACATCCCTGTAAACCTTGTAGCACAAGGATTAGGAGACATTGCAGAATAGCTCTCTTTCGAAATGTGGCACTGTCTAGACAGTGCCAAATATCAAAATAAGCTATTTCAAAATGAACTTGAAATAAGCTATGCAATTCGTGTAGCTTATTTCGAGCTAATGGTGCAGTGTAGACGCACCCCATGTTTATAGTTTTTCGTTTAAACCAATATTTAGAAGTAATAGAATTGAGGGATTTAAGGCCAGGATTTCCTAGCCAATATTAAAGATACATACACATCTTTGGATTCATCAGCATTTTGGACAGCTTCATGCTGTTCTGCATTACTTAAGGACTTACAGTCGCTAAATCATTCCCTGGATACATTTCAAGAATATCAGAATGATAAAAACCTGGTATCGTTTCTGTGTGTGGGAGGGGTGAATTATTAGGGGCAGTCTGGCATGCTACCTGGAAGGGACGGCAGGGAACACAGAGCCATGGGCAGATACAGCAGTCCTAAAGAGGCTTTGGAATCATTTACACCCTCAGTTTTGGCTTCCTGGATCTTGCGGTGCTGTCCCAGACAATGGCTTCGAAGAAATGCTGTGACCTTTGGCAACCTCCTAGCTGCCTGGGTGTGGAAGATCTAGCTGCTGCAGACGCCCCGGGAGTTATGGGGATTATACAACACTACGCAGAAGAGGCCAAATCCTGACATTTCAGTGTGAGATTTTGATGATCAGCATATCCCTAAGGGTTTTTCCTTCTTAATTTTAACCATCACCTAAGAGATAAAATCCTAAAGTTTCTCAGCAATTTAACTACCCTGGATGCTTCCGTGCATCTGCCACCTTAGCCCGATACTGGAAAGCATAGACCAGACATGACTCAGAAGTGGATGCTGCTTTCTATTTACTCAGAGCAAACGGGTCTCCAGCCAACCACCCACTGCGGGATCATTTGAGAGTACAACACCTCCAGCATGAATCAGAGGTGGACACTGCTTTCTATTTACTCTTCTTCGTGCAAATATGTCTCCAGCCAACCACCCACTGCGGGATCATTTGAGAGTATAGAAGGCCCAGACTCAAAGGGATCACAAACAGATTTAGAAATCTTTCTAGGACTATGAAACACCAGTCATTTCTCTTTTGAAATGGAACAGATTTCGTTACAATGGAAACACTTACTATTAGATTTTAAAATGAAAGCACGTGCATTTTTTTTAAAAAGGACAGCAGCTATGCAGTAATTGTAAATACTAAAAACAGTTGTAATTTCCCCTAAGAAAATACCTTCTCACTGTTCCTTTGATCAAAATCATCCAGGTTCTTCTACTGCAATATTAACAGACTTCTAGCTACAATTATATTTACTAGGGGGCTGCACCTCCGCGCGCTATGCTAGCCACCCCCCACCGTCTGCCACGGGCAGATCGTAGCCTCTCTTCCTACCCATGCCACAGCAGGATGGGGGCCACCACCAGCCCTTTCTGCGGCCAGATGGCGGCTGGATCGCGGGGCCTGCCCCAGGATTGGGGCTAGGGTGCTATGGCCAGATGGGAGCTAGGCCCTGACTGAGGCCTTGCTGGCCAGGCTTCATTTTAAATCAAGTAAAATATTATGTCCCAGACAACCAGGTTTCAACATGGTCTTTCTTAATGGTGGGGTGGGGAATCTGTGTTGGGTCAGAGGCCACTGGCCCACAGGAAAAAAAAAAAAAAAAAAAATCAGTCAGGAGCCACACACGTGAGAAGGAAAAAAGCCCCCAACCCTCACTGATGTGGCCCCCAACTGAAACTCCTCAGCGCCCTGGTGCTCCAGCCCCACGGAGGGGGGAAGGGAGAGGACTGAGGTTCAAGGCCTCAGGCCAGATTAACTCTTCTGGAGTTCCAGGGTTAGTGTTTTTTGTGAGCCCCCGTGGGCTCTGGGGTGGGACCAAAAATGAGGGATTCACCATGTGGGACGGGTACAGGAGAGGCTGGAGGTCCGGCTGGGAGGTCGAGTGCAGGAGCAGACAGAAGTGCACTGTGGTGGCAGGGTCTGGGCATGAGAGGGTGGGGGCACTTACTTGTCTTCCGGCCTAACACTGGTACCACGTTTGGGCTCCCACTGCTGCAATTAGCTGGATTCTGGCCAAGGGGAGCGCAGGGAAAGGCTCTGGACAGCGTACTGCTGCTCCCGCAGCCTGGGAGGAGGAGTGCTTCTCCCCCTCCCCCCACGCAGCAGGAAACCAGCACTAGTGCTCCAACCACACAGGGGAGGAGGGAGGGCACCTTGGCCTCCAGCTTCGCTGCATGGGGTTCTGCCTGCCCCCGCAGCGGGATGAGCCCAGCCACCGGCTTCTGCCCCGACTCTAATGCCCCAGGCAGCGGCTCCGGCTCGGGGCTCTGTGGCAGCCACTCCTGAAGTGGATGCCCAGGCTACAGGCTGGGGGAGGTAGGCCCACACCGCCTCGGGCTCAGTGCTGTATTTCGACAGGGTGAAGAGGGTCTCGAGCAAGCGAGCCAGTCCCCATCCGCCCAGCCCAGCCCTGGAACTGCCACCTACTGAAGGAGCACTTCTCCTTGGGCTGCTGGGACTGGGCAGCCCGGGGCCACTCACCCTGGATGTGAGGAGGATCCATCGGTTTCTCTGGTCTCTCCCCTCCCCTGCCGACCACTGGGGAGGAGAGAGGGAGGAAGCCACGCGGCTGAGGGTGGAGGGGCAGGACAAAAACTTTCCTGTGCGACAGTGTGTCGTGCTGATGTTACTCTGTCGTCCCACAGGAAAGGTATTTTTATAGAGAGAGAGATAAACTAGGACACCTTAACCCTGCAAAATGATAATGCTACCCTCCTCCTACCGCTCAAAGATGCAGAACGTGGTCAATCACAGATCTCATCCCATGCTGTGGGTGCCCACGACACCACACGGGATCATCATAGGAGATGAGGCTCTCTAGACCCACCCCCTGCTCAAAACAGGACCAACCCCAACTACATGCTACATGTCAAACCCATCCGATGCCAGAGATAGCTGGTATTCCCTTTTTCCTTTCGGGACAATGATGTCTGTGATCAATTGAAGCAGCTTGTTCCACTCCGTTAGGAGCTGCCCATCTTCGCCTCTGCACGCAAGCTGCGCTATGCTCACCTGTGACTAAGGGCGTCTGTGCAGTTGGCTGTTCCAGTAAGACCATGTGTTGCAGAAGAGAGTTGTGTGACGTTCCCCCATCTCTTTCCAACGCTGTAGTGCTCAAATACGGAGTGAGGTGGGTGCCAGGAAACAAGGAAAGCCGCTGTTGTAGGGTGGGAATAGCAAGTCTTTCGGCATCCTGCTGTCCTGACCCCCCCTGGAAATACACCCCTGGTAAAGCATTCAGCTTACAAGCCAATGCAAGCACAAGCCCAAAGGCAAGAGTACGCGTTACTTACACTGGCAGGCCCAGTGGCAGGCAGCCCTAACGTTATGTTGGGCAGGGAAGGAGACGTGTAGAGAGGAAGCTGGGTTACTGAGCCTTCACGATTCGCTAGGCGGTGAGCCAGGCTGGTCTGGAAATTGAATCAAGAAAACTGTGATGAGCAGATAACAGAGAGAAGAGACAGGAGTCACATTTAAAGCCTGCCTAATTCAGGGCTCACCTTGCGCTGAAAGCACATCAGAAAAGGAAGTCAGAAAGAAAAATAGAAGGCAGGTAACTCCACCTCAGATTCCAAATGTTGGAGCTAATCTGTGCCCCATATCCTTCCGAGTCGATGGGCTCGGCCCTGGCAGGATTCACTGGTGTCTAATGCTCCCACAAAAGGTGGCAGAACTGCTCTCAAAGGGCTAATCCACATGAATGGTCCCAGAATCCTCTGACCCATTTATATCCCCCACATGGGCCAAGAACAGTTCACTCAGCAACCGATTCCTCCCACAGCCCTGGAGCACATCCCCCCCCACCCCAGCCCCACCGCACCCTGAAAAGGGAGAGGAAAACCCTGTCAGAATCCTGTTTTCTTTAACCCTGTAGACAGGAAAAAGTCATTTCTGCTATCCCGACAGCCTCCATGAGTCAAGTGTCTCTTAAAGTGGGAGGCTAAAAAGTGCTGCATTTTCTGTTATACCAGATGGAGGCCCCATCACCAGACCAAGGACAGCATTAAATATGTAAAACTTGAGTCAAGAGCCTGGATGTTCCTCTTAGGCAGGTGTTTCTTCCTTTTCAGGGAGGAGAGTGAAATTAGCTAGGAGGATTATGTTGCAGCCAGCTAAATGTTAGTCACTTTTAATTTCGCAGCAAATACTAACCGTAGCTACTGAAAGGTTGTCTGAAAGCCCGAGTACAGAACAGTGATTCTGATGGCACTGAATGATGGAAGGGATATTGTTTTCCAACACAGGAGCCGACACTTTTTTTTTTTTTAAATTCCAATACTGTTTCTTCTGCAGGGGTAATTTTTTACTCTGATGCTTGGGAAAATGGGTCTACAATGGGTGGAACGGGGTTTCATCCTTCACAGATCGATACAGGTCAGCACGGCCACGAAGAGATTTGCGTCGTAGGGAGTTTGAGCTATTAGGTTTGAACCTGTTGCACTGAACTCAACGGGAACATGCAGTTGATGTTAATGGGTGCTGAATTAGGCCAGTTTTGGATGATGAAAAGAGAACAGTCTCTCTTGGTAGTCCATTGAAGCAACTTGCACAGAATGTGCAAGATCAAGCAATGCTGCTGTGAAGAGCACACGCTTAACATTTACTATTGAAAAATCAATACAAGTGTCCTCTACAGGAAAAATCTGATGTATTGAAAAGCGCAAGTGGAACTGCTGAATGTGGCAACATTCAAGCGATTCCTCTGAGATGGGATCCTCAGACAAGTATACCGACGATACCTTTTTACAAGAGTGCATTTGCCCTCTTTGCAGCCAAAGAGACTGCATTTCTAATAAAGGTTCTATTTGGTATTAGTCATTCCCTTGCCTTCCCTACCATTCTGGGACATGATACGGTAGTCAAGTAATCGAGTTCTCACATCTGCGCAAGCAAAGTTCCATTTGCCAAGGGAGGGTCTTTCTATTCCTGAAGTCTCGTTTGCAATCTTGTCAATCACAATGATTAAAACCAGTCGAAGATCAGTTCAGTCACAAAGGTCGCCTGATTGCTAATTTCTCTGTAGTTGTGGAATATTGCTACCACCCCACCCCCCCAAGACAAAATTCTAAAGAGCTTGTGGGGGGGGGGGGCTGTTTCCACTAACTTATTTGTCAGGATGATTTTGAACATTTCTGAGCTATTTAGCTTTAAAGCGTAAACATAATGTTACTGCACCACATGCTGAAAATAAGGTATGCACTGTAAGTGAGGTACTGACATCATTTCCTGACTATTACAGGGGACAGATCTTAGAAGAATAACAAAACTACATCAATTTACACTTTAAACAGTCAAATCCCCATTTAGTTGTGCCTCAAATAGTCTCGGGGGTTTATTTGTATTAAGCACAACGGAATGAAAAACAACAGCTTGAAGCTAATTGCATACACAAAATTACAATTCCATTACCATCATCTTAAATATACTGAATCTCTCTCTCAATTGTACATAAATGCTCTGAAAATACAGAGAAGAGCACAGAGCCAGTGCCTATAATTTTTGTCCAATCAGGCAACACTTTTTGTAGCTAAATATGAAATAAAATGCCAGTAAATGTCAAATAGCCTTGCACAGGGGGAACAACAGTGCTAAATTTAACACTATTTAACAAATAAACGCTATTTACTCACGGTGTATAGAATGGAGTTGTTTGCTTTCTACACTTGAGGCAATTATTTTAATTTAAATAATATAAAAATGCTCCGTTTTCCCATTTGATATGGGTCAAAAGGTGAATCTTCCACCAACCAATGTGCAAACAGACACATTTCTCATTTAAAAACACACACTCGGGTAAATGTGAAACTATCACAATGGGTCAAGTATCAGAGGGGTAGCCGTGTTAGTCTGAATCTGCTAGTTAGTCTATAAGGTGCCACAGGACTCCTCGTCGCTATCACAATGGGGAAGACTAATCACTCAGAAATTGTTGATTATTTACTATACACAAAGTGAAAACAGGTCTGATTTATCAGAGATAGTCTGTCATTGCTGTGAGCATATATTAGCCTTTTATAAGACACATGGAAGCAAGCAGTAATCTGGTAATGTTATTTCCTGATGTATACAGCAAGCTTCATTTGAATGGAAATATCTGCATCTAAAATGCTATTTTAATTAACTGCATCTGGACAGACCCCGGACAAATGCATGCAGAAATGTTTGGAGGAATGGTTCAGCTGTCATCGTGAAATATAAAATGCTTGTAGAAAAGAATGAGTAATGAAGGGCATAACCAATTTTTGGTAGATGTGAATGTTGAGGATAGGGAAGATTTAACTAATAGAATAAATTCTTTAAGATCTGTTGACTGCAACAATTAATGCACTAGGTTATGAGAAATTATTTACCATCCATTAGTGGGTTGTGAGCTTTCATGTGGACCATGGCCTCAAAAATCTAGTAGGCTGAATGTCCACATGTTATCTACATCTAACACCAGTACAGCAGCAGAGCATTCAGACTATGTTCTTGGTGTCTTCCATAAAATCATGGATCAGGTGAGAAAATGATGGGTGCAATTTTCAGAGCAACAGAAGAAAAATGTTAACTGTTCATGTTTAACGTATGTATTATGCATAAGCAAGGTCATACTGGGTGAGACCAAAGGTCCATCCAGCCCAGTGTCCTGTCCGCCAACAGTGGCCAATACCAGATGTCCCAGAGTGAGGGATCACAACAGGTAATCCTCACATGATCCCACCCCTGTCACCCACCTCCAGAGAAACAGAAGCTGGGGACGCCATTCCTACCCAGCCTGGCTAATAGCCATTGATGGACCTAACCTCCATGAATCTATCGAGCTCTTTTTTGAACCTTGTTAAACTTCTAGCCTTCACCACATCCTCTGGCAAGGAGTTCCACAGGTTGACTGTGCATTGGGTGAAGAAAAACTTCCTTTTGTTTTAAACCTGCTGCCCCTTTCATTTCATTTGGTGACCCTTAGTTCTTATATTGTGGGAATAGGTAAACAATTTTTCCTTATTGACTTTTTCCACACCAGTCATGATTTTATAGACCTCTATCCTATCCCCCATTAGTCTCCTCTTTTCTAAGCTGAAAAGTCCAAGTCTTTTTAATCTCTCTTCATATGGGACCCTTTCCAAACCCCTCATCATTTTTGTTGCCCTTGTATCTTTTGTTGCTAATGTATCTTTTTGAGATGAGGCAATCACATCTGTATGCACTATTCAAGCTGTGGGCGTACCATGGTTTTATATAGAGGCAATAAGAGATTCTCAGTCTTATTCTCTATCCTGTTTTTAATGGCTCCTAACATTCTCTTTGCTTTTTTAACACAGTATTGGAAATGCGAGCAAAGCCAAAATCCGTACACACCTAGAAAGTTCAAATAGCCTGGGTTTATGCTTCAGAACGCACCTTTGCACGCTCCAAAATTACAAGGTGGAGGACAGCATGATTAAACCAACATTCTGCTTTGACAGCAAAGTTTAAAAACATAAACGCATGCATAATAGCCAATGGAAACAGCCAACGTGAAGCAATGCAGTACAAGCGCCAGCGGCAAGGTCTGGGTGATTACACATGTGGAAGTTGTAGATGACGGAGCCATACTGATAGATTCAATAATATTCACGCAGGAATTGCCAGACTAGATCAGACCCTGCTCTAGTCTAGTAGCCTGTCCCTGATAAGGGCCTACATCAAATGTCCGAGAGGATGGCGTAAGCACCCTGCAGTTTGTGGGGTTCTCTGGTAACTACAATCCGTTATGGGACGATGCAATTTGGAAGCAATGGTTAACAAAAACAAAGATGAGAGGAAGCTAAAATTTGGTGGCAAATGTCAACATGCAACAGTCTGCCTGTTAGTTCTGAGCAGGGGAGAAGAAACTTAAACCAGGTTGTATTTATTCCCTGAATCAAGTGACATTATTGCACATTATAAAGCATGAATATAAATATCCAGCATTTCAAAATACTTCAGAGGGTTGGCAGCCTTTAGTTGAGCAAGGAAACCTCTTCGAGATTTCCCCCGCCCCCCACCTTCTCTTTCCTTCTTTTATCTATCAATCCATATTATAGCTACAGGGGGATATTAATGAGCAAGCTCAGACTACGCAAAATGTTTCATCTGAAGTGGGTTGTATCCACAAAAGCTCATGGTGCCATCTACATGTTTTGTTAGTCTCTAAGGTGCTGCACTGTTTTTTTAAGTTTTTCCAGTTACAGACTAACTCAGCTACCCCGGTGAAACTTTCAGACTACACAAGTTATGTACACAGCACATTCAAATCTTCACTGGTTAAGGAGCGGCCATCCAAATGCAGGGTTAGCTGAAAACTTTCCACAAGTTCATTGGGAGCACAAATATTAAAAAGGTAAAAAGCAGCTCTCTACCTCTGCCTGAATGCTCGTGACTGATCCTGTAATTCCATTCTCAGCACTTATGTTGTTAGAGCTGTTGTTTGGTGAGCTGGGACCAGATCCAGGAGCACTGTTGCAGGCAGAGTCTAAAATACATTCAAAAACAACCATTAGACAGTACAAAACACTCTCTGCAATGCTATTTGGAGAGACCTATTGGGGAAAACAGAAGCCTCGCAGATATAAAAAACATTTCTGTGTTGGTATCAACAAAGATGTACCTGCAAACAGCCCAGCTGCATACTTACATTGCTAACTTTTTGTACAGGGGTCAGTAACTTTCGATTTGATATCTCACACACACACGAGCAAGCCAAGTCAGTCTGTGTCAAACTGTTACACTACAGTTCTATTGTAGTCTCCTCCAATCCATTTCAGCCTTTAATCTGAATCATGCTCTTGGTCTTGCACAATTCAGTAACTTTCTGAGCTCGGACGTTTTCCCACGCCCTCTTCTTGGGTACCTGAATTCATTCGCGTTTTAACTTTCATTACTCACCTTTGACAGTTACTTCACACCACAAATCGTGCCCCAATGAACGCTTCCTTGAGTTTTTGTATTTGTTCAGTGCCAACATTGTGCTCTGGTCTGAAAGACTCTCTTCCCTGGAGGGACGCCATCTACCAAGTGGTAGTTTCAGCAGCACACAGGGAGCACACCTCTGGGCTTCCGAGCGAGGCACAGAGGGTGAAGTCTGGCTTCCAAGCTATCAGAACGAAGTACCCTGAGAAGCAGGTTTTGCTTCAGGACTTTTCCATTTCATTAGAGTTCTGTGTGCACTCAGTGGTATTTACAGTAGCCTCTATCTAAGCTTACAGCTTTACCAAGTGGTAGTTTCAGCAGCACACAGGGAGCACACCTCTGGGCTTCCGAGCGAGGCACAGAGGGTGAAGTCTGGCTTCCAAGCTATCAGAACGAAGTACCCTGAGAAGCAGGTTTTGCTTCAGGACTTTTCCATTTCATTAGAGTTCTGTGTGCACTCAGTGGTATTTACAGTAGCCTCTATCTAAGCTTACAGCTTATCAGACCCTGTTAACAGTCTCCACAGTGATGTAATTAGATCCCACATTATGAACATGCCACCATTTTTACAAAAGATGCAGCATGTAGAACTACAACAGTCCCGATAATTGAAGCATGTTTAAGACAGGAATGCAATGATCTTCCCTTTTTAAAGTTTTCTCTTGCTAACTTGCAAATTAGAAATGTTTCTTTGGCATGAATGCTCTACGCATGGTACCAGCTAGCAATGTAAAGGGGTTACATTGCGCACAAGGGTTTTTCTTGCACAAGAAGGGGCAGTATAGACGCCCCTTCTGGCGCAAGAGCCTCTTCTGCAAAAATGGCTGCTCATTAGGTATGCAAATGAGGCTCAACAATATTCCACGCTTAGCCTCATTTGCATATTTCTGGCGCAACAACCCGCCAGTGTAGACATAGCCTAGGGGTGACAAATTGAGTATTGACTAGCCTAAGCTGGGCTAAAAGGCAAGACGTGGTCGAGAGGGGGCAAGCAAGTCATTTATTCAAATAAATAAGCCAAACTATTGCCCAAGATGGGTATCATCCAGGAGTCCATTTTTGGGGAATGGAAGGGGCAGACGGAAGAACTCACAGCCAGTCCATATCAAGGCTTTTCCTTCCCACATGAAGGGAGGCACCCTCCATGGAGATAATGGTCCAAAGTCTCTCTGGGCCACTCACGGGGAATTCTAGCCTGCTGTGGCCACTCGCTAAGTATTGATTGAACTCTCCTCCCCTCTCTCGCCAGCAGGGCTCGGGCCAGGCCTCCACACCTCACATTCTCATATTCTAGGGTGGGTCTTCCCTCAGTCAGGGCAAATGCCTGAGGCCGTCCTCAGCCGCTTGACAGGAGTATTCCTTCCTAGCAACCTGTGGCTGCTTTCTTTGACAAGGGATGACAGGACAGGACAGCGTTAAAACCCTGTCTCCAGGATAGCCCATTGACCCTTCCTGCGCTGGTCCAGCGTGGTGTGTGCACCAACCCAAACACCACAGCCATGAGGATTTTGTACTAAAAATAAAGCGCCCTAATTCCATTGCTGCAAGCCCTCAGTGTATGAAACTTCACAGACGTTCTCAGCGTGTTCTTAACACCCCTACTTGCAGGGAAGTGA